GGTTCAGTGTCACATCTCATCCAGCCCGTAGTCCTCCTCTGGGAACTCTCCCACGGTGACGAGGGCCGGCTTGACAAAGGCTCCGTACTTGGCCTGGCATTCAAAGTAGCGTTTCCCGTTCACACTGCCATCGTTTTTCCCTAATGGCTCATCGTATCTGACGCCAACCCAGTAGCCTGGCTTGAAATCTGTGAGTCCTACATACATGACAGTGCCCCGGCGCGGGGACTGGCCAGGTGCCTGCACCTCACAGCGGCTACCCACAGAGATGGCGCTGGCTTGGGTCTTCTCCTCGCTGAGGCGTTGGGCGGCTTCCGCCTCCTGCTGGGCCCGAAGTTCCTCATTGTAAGGGCCTACCTTGCTGCGCTTCATGAAGGATCGAACTGTGTTTTGTCTCCGGTCATAAGCTTCTGATGACATTTCGTATTTCTCCACCGTGGACACGTCTTCATACTCTCCAAGCCGGATGCCACTGTGGTCAATGACATGGATGCGGCAGCCATCATCTACAGGATAGGAGCCCAGCAGTGCATCGTCTTGATCCAACTTGCTGTAGAACTTGTCATCAGCTCCATACAGCTCCAGCTCCATGCAGGAAGCAGGGCTGCCCACCATCAGTTGTAGTTTACACTTGAACTCTGCGATGGTGAGGCTCCGGCTGTACCGCTTCTCCGAGCGGAAGCTGTTGAGGGAGCTGCTGATGAAAACCGTCACCGTGGGCGCTGACACCCCCGTCACCTCCATCTCGCCGCGCCCTGCAGTGGCCCGCGGTTCAGTTCAGCCGTCTCACCGCAATGTAAATATTTTTGAAGATAGTGGGTATAGGGGTCTCGACCCTCAAGTTTAGAACCACTGCTCTAGTGGAGGGCTACCTGAGTTACTGAATGAGTTCAAGGCCAGCCTGGACAAATTAGTAAGATCTTGTCTCTCTCAAAATAAAAAGTACAAAGAGGGCTGGGGATATAACTCAATGGTAGAGTGCTTACCTGGTATGAACGAGACCCTAGGTTCAGTCCCCAGGACCACCAAAAAAAACGGACCAGGAGCCTGTCATGCTCAAAAATTATAAGAGCATTCCTAGGAGGCTTTTTCACAGACCCAAGAGGACCTGCGACCCCCACCACCCTTGAACACTACGGCTTGCAGGCTGGGAAAGAGAACCAGACTAAATGAGAGGAAGCGGGGCCAGGGAACCTACATACCCTGCAATCCCTCCCCAAGAATGGCATCCAAATGGCAAGTGCTGGCCATCAGGGCAAGGGTCGCTTTTTAAAAGCAATCAGGTCACATGCCAGGCTAGAGTATATGGGAAGCCTCTATGCCTGCCTCTCAATTTTGCTGTAAAATTAAACTGTTCTTTAAAAACAAAACAACAAAACAAAAAACTGAAGTCTTAGGAAAGAGGCAGAATCTCAGGGTGCCAGGCTGGCAGTATTCAGGAACAGCCTGCAGGTACTAGTTCTGCAGGAGTCTCACAGGTGGGCTCCAGGCAGGAAAGCAAACCTGTGTCAATGGTGGCCGGAGGCATAGCCTCCAGGGTGGTGATGACCTGGTAGGCCAAAGTTCAGTTTTAACCTAAAACCGAACGGTGACGATCTCCACTGGTTCAGTATCTAAGCATGATTAAATTCCTACATTGGATGCTGTAAGTGGATGTTAGCAGATCTGACCCTTGCATCAGAGTATGCAGCAACTTTCTAGATACCGTGTTTGGGGCCTTCTACTTTTGTTCCTGTGTTCATACGCTGGAGGGGTGGTGTGGGTGAGGACCATGCTGGCTGGCCTGTGTTCCAGCCCCCCAAACCCCTCCACCAGGAGGACAGGCAGCCACGCCTTGCTTTTTCCCATTAGCTTCTTTTGCCGAACACTTCTGCACGTCAATGCGTGCCTCCTGCTCCGCCTCGGGCAGCCCTGCTCCTGTCTGTGTGTGTCCCCACCCCCACCCCACAGACACGGTTGATAATTATAGTTTATTGATTTCTCCTGCTGTCTGCTGCCCTGACACCATGTTCTTCGTCTTAGTTAGGCACCTTGAGGTCCACCCCAGCCTGTTTTTCCTGGGAGGCAGTGTGCCCAGCCAGAGAGAGCTCCAACACACGTAGGCATCAGGTCCCTCTCCAGCACCACCCTACCACCACCCACAACCCCCATCCCATCCCCGAGGCCTCAGGCTGAGTCTGGAAGGAAGATGAAGGATCTCAGCAGTAAAACCATATTGACATTTACCACATGCCAGACACATGCATGGGGCTGTGCGTTCTCCCAAATCCCGTTGAGGGAGGCTTACCACTCACTACAAATGAGGCTCAGAGACGTAAGGGCTCACCTGAAATCACAAAGCTACCCAGAGTTGGAGCTGAGAGCAGACCTAAATTGTGCACACAGATCCCCAAGGTTACCCACCACAAACCAAGCTGGTTTGTGGAGAAGCAAAGGCTCAGAGGCGCTAATGTAAAACAATGCGCCTCAGGACAGCAAGGCCTGTGGCAGATCCCACGCCCACTGGCATCCAGAAAGAAGGTCCCCGACAGCTGTTGCAGGAGACAACCTGGCTCCTAAACTGCTTACTTCTTACCATAAACAGGAAGGCCATAAAAGGGGCCCCTTTTGCTCAGACCCTCGGGGCTGCTCTCTCCTCCTCCTGCTCTTCCGTCTCCTCCCCCCAGTTATGTCCCCAGGCAGTCTCCTCCTCCAGTTTGTGTCCCCAGGCAGAAGAGCAATTGTTTCCTTGAGAAAGTTACTTTCTCCCTTCCTCCTCGGCCCCCAAGTAAATGTTGATCAATAGGGGTTGGAAATTTCAACTGTTACAGTTTCCCTGGGTTAGGGACAGGGCTGGAGACCTGTGCCCAGCCTAGAACCCAGAGACGGAAGGTGACAGTGCCCTCCCCCATGCTTTATTAACCAACCATCAATCTACAGAAAGGACTCACTTTCTGAAAACAGAAAGCCACAATTCTGAAAAGCCCCCACCCCAGGGGTGGGAGCCTAGGGATGAACTCCGTCCCTGAGTGCTAGCCTAGGGCATGCAGCAGAAACCAGGCCCTATCCAGGGGTGGTGATGCAAGCCTATAATGTCAGCACTCAGGAGGTAGAGACAGGAGGATGAGAAGTTCAAGACCATCCTCCTTGACTATCTAAAGTTCAAGGGTAGCCCGGGATATGGGAGACTCAATCTCAAAAACAAACAAACAAACAAACAAATCCCTCGAGAGAAAGGGACTATGGAATAAGAAGTGATAAGAGAAGGCTCAAAGGTAAGATGAAACAGAATGTCTCAAAGAATGTTCTTGATAACATTCTTCACAAAAAGATTGAAAAAAAAAAAAGTAAACAGGAGAGTTTCCATGGCCCCAGGGCTGCCCTTTGGTCATCATAATTGCATGGTTTAAGATTCTGCTAATTCCCGCTACAAAGGACCTTGCTCTGTTGCATAACCAATTTTCCCAATGTCCTTCCTCACAAGTTTCTTTCTGCAAATGGCCCACATACCACAGCATTTAAAGTCACCTTCTGTGCTTTGGGACCCCGAGGGACTGCATGAGGTCAGGGGTCCTGGGTGTGCACTGATGTCCTGTTGGGACCCCCAGGGACTGCATGAGGTCAGGGGTCCTGGGTGTGCACTGGTGTCCTGCTGCTGTAACTCTTCGGGTTGTTTGTTAGAGCCATAACTACTGGCCACTCTCCCTGCTCCCCAGGAATGACTGGAGCCTCACTAGATCAATGCTAACTAAGTCAGACAGAAACACTGTGATGCCAGGAGAGGTCCATCAAGGAGCAGCCAGCCACCCTTTGGCAGGGGGACTCCTCCATTTTTAGTGACAGCCTCAGATCTCTTTGGTGCAGGGATGCTCAGGCATAGTCTACCCCAACTCCACAAGTTCACAGCAGTATCAGTAAAGTTTCTGGACCCCATCCTAGGGGACACTGGTGCATCTTCAGGGACCGTGAGTGACAAAACAACACACACGAGAGTTCAAAAGTCAAGGTGTGGCTGAGTCCTTGAAAAGGTTTGTCATTTCCCGGAAACTTGCCCTGCCTCCACCCCAGCCTAGGAATGTTCTCATCCCTGTCATCTCGCCTCTCCAGGCACTGAACACGTCACTGTGGCCCTCCAGCACTGCAAAGCCTCTTCAGACTCCAGGTGGCTCCCTCCTTGTCCATCTCTGCCTGAGCTTTGTCATTTAGTGTGGGCTAGTCACCGGCCTCAGTTTTCAGTAATCTTGTGCTTGATTGAGTTGGTTATAAGGTCTCAAGCGTACTGTCTTCACCTACAGCAATTCACAGTAACCTCTATGTAACAATCTGGGGGCCAGGGTGGGGTTGGGGGTTGAGGCTAGAGAGATAGCTCAGTGGTTGCTTTTCCAGAGGACCCAGGTTCAATTCCCAGCACCCACATGGCAACTCACAACTGCCTGTAACTCCAGGTCCAGGGGATCTGGCCCCCCTCACACAGACACCAATGCACATAAAATAAAAATAAACCATTAAAAGTAAAAATCTGGGAATTTCGTTCTAAATTCTGGATTTACGATTTCTATTTTAATGGGGGGGGGGAATCAGATGATCCAGCAGGACCAGAAGAGCCCCAACATTCCTTTGTTACAACCCTGGTCTGGAACTGAGTGACGGTGTTCAGGTGAGACCTGCACTTTCAGTTTGCTAAAGTCCTAATTAACCATTCCTTAACATCACTGGTAAACTAAGGCACCAGGCCACTGTGTGTTCTGGGCCACTTACTCAACATCTTGGTGCCTTGATGCTCTCAAATGGGAAACAGACTAACAATAGCTTTCTCTCTCCCTGTACGAGTCAGATGGCTCATGATGCAAGCCTAAGGACCTGGGTTTGATCTCCAGAACCCACATGAAGAAGTTGTGCCTACCCCTATACTCCCAGTGCTGGGAACCAGGCGGGAGAATCCCTGGGGGTTGCCAGCCAGCCAGCCTAGCTGAATCAGCAAGCTCCGGATTCAGTGAGAAACCTAGTCTCAAAGAAATTAGATGGTTGGGGCTGGATAGAAGGTTCAGTGATTAAGAGCACTGGCTTCTCTTCCAGAGGACCCAAGTTCAATTCCCAGCATCCACATGGAAGCTCACAACTGCCTATAACTCCAGTTCTAGGGGATCAGACAGCCACGCACAGACATACATGGAGACAAAACACCAATGCACATAAAATAAAAATATTTTTTTAAAAAAAATTAGGTTGAGAGCCGTTGAGGAAGACACTTGCTATCAACCTCTGGCCTCCACACACACATATGCAAAGACAGACAGACAAACAAAGAGACAGACAGAGAGAGGAAGAGTTTGTGTGTGTTGGGTCCTGCGTGACCTTGAACTAATCTCCACTTCTCCATGACAGAAATAGGGAGGACACTGTGCTGAAGGATGCCATGTATGCATGGTGAGACTTCTGGTATTCTCAGAGAAAGCCAGACCCAAGAAATATGCTCAAGGCCCCACCTTTGCCAAAACTGGTCAGGGCAAGAGGCCTGTAGACACTGTTCCTCTCAGAGTATCACAGGCTCTGTCTTTTTCCCAGTTCATCCTAATCAAGCATCCCAGCAGAGTACTTCCGGCCCTACCCAGGCCCCACCCCCACATGCTGGCCCTGACTCACAGCTGGGAAGCTTTTTCCTAACAAGCTTTTCTGGTCAGTGATCAGCTGAAGACAAGGCCTCTCTGACTAGGCAGTTGGATTTCTTCCCTACCTCTTTTACAAGCTCCCAACAGCAATCTTGCCAAATGATCACGGTTTTTCTATTTGGATGCAAAAGAGAGCGGAGGAAACCTCTAATCCCACAGCACACACACAGAAGTCTCATTCAAGACCCTCTAGCCTCTGTTTCCTGAGTCTCGGGGCGAACCCTTCAGACTAGCCAGTCCCCCATAGAAACGGACAGGTGAGATCCTGAGAGCTGGGTGGATGGAAGGACTCTGCGACACTGAAAATCCTGTAAAGCTGGCACGGTGGCATGTGCCTGTCATCCCCACTACTCAAGAGGTGGAGGCAGGAGAAGTTCAAGGCCATCCTCAGCTATATGGGAGTTCCAGACCACGAGGGTTACTCTTCTGTCTGGAAAGTAATGGTAAGTTTTGGATCCCCGGTTATTGGGTATCTTCTGCTGCTGATGCAGTAAGCCAATCAAGCTGAATTATTAAGTCCAGGTTTAAAAAACAAAGTGAAGCACCTCCTAGGTGACTAGGGAAGGCAGGGGAGAGAGCAAGAGAGCACACGGCAGGTATGGTGACCGGCATGTATGGTGACCGGGTCTCAAGCAGCCTGTGGGCTTGGTCTTGAGCCGCCCAAGAGAGGGGCTGACTCTTAGCAGGCTTTCTTAGGTGCAGGGTCTGGGGAGAGAGAGAGGCGGGGCTTCCACCTAATCATCCCAGACTCCTTGGGTAAATATGGCACTGGCAGGGCTTCCACCTAAACAAATAGTAAAAATAAAAATAAAATAATATGTACCTGGAAGATGGCTCAGCAGACAAAAGTCCTTGTGGCAAAAGCCTGATGACCTGAGTCCAATTCCCAGAATGTGTATGAAGACAGAAAGAGAAAGCCAGCTCTACAAAGTTGTTCTCTAATTTCCACATGTGTGCTGTGGCCCGTGTGTGTGTGCCCACCCCCCATAAATAAAATGATGCCTTTAAAAATGAAATAAAACAAAGTCCTCCTGATTATAGAGGGTAGGGAAGACTGTGCCTTCAAATCCAGAGAGGGAACACACAACTTCACTGGATTAAGTCATCTCTATGCAGACACTGGCCACTGTCTAAGGTACATGCACAGAATCCTTTCCCCCACCATGGGACGGCGTCTAGGGGATTAGGCAGATGACGTGAACGTTCGGATAATCTGGAAGAAGGCATGACTCACAGCACCAGTGGGACTGAGCCCGACAGCATGAGAATTCCTCACCCTACAGAGAATGGCCCATGATTTAAAACTTATTAATTGTTTCTAATTTTCAGAGCTAAACTACAGTTTGGTTGTTTCTGGGATTTCTTATGTTTGGATGGTGGCTAACTATGAGTAACAGCATCCCATGGGATGAAATCACAGCCATAGTCCACCCTAGGTTGCTAGTGTGCCCTCCCTGGAGCCAGAATTTGCTTTGTCTTGGGTTAAAACTAAAAGGTCAGTGTGGGGGCCACAGAGGGAGAAGGGCCCTTGGCTGACGAAGTCCTGAATCCTGGCATCTGTCCTCTGCCCCTGGGAACAAGCATCTCTGCCCGAACCTACCTCTCCTTGACTCAGCAAGCAGTCCCTCTCCTGCTAGCATTTCTTCCTTTCTGGACCAGCCCTGGCATCCTTTCAGCAAAAGCCTGAAGAGCACACCATGAGCACAGTCCGGGCACATGGGACGGGAAAGCAGTATATTTCCCATTTCCTCCACATCAACTCCAAATCAACCTCCATCCACCACTCTGTGGGATTTTAACGTGTGATCTGTAACTAGGCAGGGGCCCAAGCCTAAAGAGGTTTAAACAGGAGCATGAGAGTTTGGGCCAGCCTGGGCCATAAAGCATAAAAATAAATAAATAAATAAATAAATAAATAAATAAATAAATAAATAAATAAATAAATAAATAAATAAATATTTTGTGCCAAGTCCTTCAATCCCAGCACTGGAGAGGCATAGGCTGACAAATCACTGAGTTTAAGACTAGCCTCATCTATGTAGTAGATTCCAGGTTAGTCAAGGCTACATTGTGAAACCCTGTCTCAAAACAAAAGGGTGGGGGAGGAGTGTTTTCCCTTTGAGAATCCTTGGCCATCTTTTGGAGAAACAGCAAGTGTGTTGTGGACATGCAAATGAAGTGCACGCAGCCTCAGGTGCACGCTCATTCACCCTTGCTGGATGTGAGTGAGTAACCAGTTTAATGGTGCTGCAAACTTACCAACCGACTTACAGAAGAGCGGGAAGGGAGGGATCTGACCCACTGGGCTTGAGTTTCCGAGCATTTTACCGCAGGAGTCAAATGTCTGTCAAAGATTTTTTGAAGCCCAGGTTTGACTTTAAACAACCTCAAGAAGCTGTACAGCACACGCCGCTGAGTGCCTATAAACAGCCCTGGATTTTTTTCCTGCCACGCTTCTAACTATCCAGTTCAATATCACCACAGCGCCTAAAAGGTTTTTAATATAGATATTAAATATATCCATATCGTCACTTCAGTGAGAGCTAGAGCAGCGGGGCTTTTCCTCTGGGGTCTTCCCAGCCATTTGCTGCTGACACAGACTATTAAAAATAAACCTACCCGGAGGAACTAGTCATTTTACATGGTATTAGGACTAATGTTATCATTTAGTAGCTGCGGAGATTTGCCTGCTGCAGAGGCCCCAGATAATGATGGAAACATGATCGAGTGAGATGATCTCTCCACAGACAACTTGCATCATCTGCAGCATGTCATGTAGATGCTTATTTAAGACTTACACCACTGAGCAAACATTGATGCCTTCAGCAGAATAAAACCATCAGTGCTGCGGGTGATAAGGAATGGCATTCTCGTCTGGGGCTTGAGACAGGCTGCATAGGGAACAGGAAGCCTAGCTCTGTGGTTCCAAATGGAGGATGGAGTAAGTCACTCTCCACCTTCCACAAAGCACATGCCAGGCCTGGACACATGGACCTACAGAATCAGCACCCGAGTCTTAACAAGTCAAGTTCAGCCAGCTTTAGGAAGCTGAAATTCAAATAGAGTCACAGCTAGGATATGGTAAAACCAGGCTAGTTACTCAGGAGGCTGAGGGGCAGAGGGATCACAAGAGGGATCAAGACTAACCTGTACTACAGAGTGAGTTCAAAGCCAGCATAACCTCCTGACCATGTTTTAAAATTAAAAATTAAAAAAATCAATAATAAGGACTAGGTGTTAGACTTCTGCCCTCACTCCAGCTGCATGACCGCACATGTGCAGTTCAGGAGTTAAGCAAAGGGTCTTGCGTCTTATGTCATCAGTGTGCGCTGGTGACTACAAGCTTGGGTGTGGTCACGAAATCAGCGCATGTGTGGTGCAGCTCTGTAGGCCCACCTGGGCCTTAAAAAGCCCTGACTCACCCCCCACCCCCACCCCCGCCCCCCTCTCTCTCTGTTCTGCTCCCTCTTCCCCCACCATCTTTCCCTCTCTCTGCACGTGCTCCTTCCCAGGCCTGGTTCTTCTCCCCCCACCCCTCTTCCTCCTAATAAAGCTCTGCTACTAGGCAGTCGTGGCCTCACCTCGTGACCTTTTTACTCAGTAACCAGCGCCATTTATCATTCAGTTCACTGGGACTAGTGCTCAGTGGGAGAACACTCACCTAGCATGTAAGAGGCCCTGGGTTCAAATCCTCAGTACTACAAACAACTAAATAAGAAAGAAATAATGAAGGCAAAACCAAGATATGACCCAAAGTCAAACCATGTCATCTGTTTGTCACTGCCATGGAGGCCAACTGAAAGCAAGGACCCTGAGATACAGATAGATGAGCCCATGTCACCCTCACTCACTCTTTGTGGGGCAGGTCACATTAGTCTCCTCACTGCACCACAGGACAGAGAAACCTCTCATGGCAGAATTTACCTCCCAGTTATCCACTCACTTGGATGGCTCATGTATTCACTCACTTCTGCAGACACACAGGCACAAAACAAAGAATAAGTAAAAAGAGTAAAGGCCTGAGCTGTGCATGTGGTACACTCCGGCAATCAGGATGCTAAGGTGGGAGAATTGAGATTTGTGGGCCAGCCTAGGAGACAAATTAAAAAAAAGGGGGGGGGGCAGCATTGTCGCTGGCCCCAAGTTGAATGTGCACACGCAGGCCCCCATGGCTTATTGAGCGCTGAATGCCCATACCAAGGGTCTGCTGGCTGGGTCCTACTGTGAGGTGTGCACACAGGGTTAGGCAGTCCTTTGTGTTATTTTAAAAAGCAGGTGTAGAGAAAGAGAGAAGGCAGAAAGGCTCGGCCTAACCTTAGACAGAACCACGTTTATTCACATGGAGGGACTCTTTGTCACTCACAGGTGCAGGTGGCTAAAATGCCTACAGGGGAAGATGGGTTGGGGCCCCTTATAGAGGCAGGAATGACCTCTGAAGTCTGCAAGGGAAGCTGGGAAGTGTAGTCCTTCAGCAGGAAACTACCATTCCTAACTGAAGTGAGAGACAAATGTGGGGCAGGGGTGTTAAGCTACTTTCTGCTGAGGAGGGTCCATGTCAGCCAGCGTAGTTCTCGGTCCATCGAAGAGGGGGGCCTCTGGTCACGCAGCAGGAGGGGAGTCTTAAACTTGATCCGCTGGGATGGGTCAAGCGATGGCTGTCCCGTACTCCTGAAGAGAATTGGAAAATAATTATTAGAGCGCTGAAAGCCAGCAATTTGGTTACAGAGTAAAACAGAGATTTTCCAGGAAGGTTGAGGGATAGGGAGGAACAGAGGTGGAGAAAGTCGGCATAGAGTTGATTGGTCCCATTGCCAGGACTGTTGTACAGATGAGCCAGCAGCCACGGCACAGAGGACAGGGCATCAAAGGAAGGGAACAGGAGAAAACAGAGGACTGGTGGAAAGGCCTGTATCTGGCCTGGGGTGAAAGGGATGACCCCTTTAGCCCGAGTTTCTCCATGGTATCTAAAAGATGCAGTGTGTTGCAGATGTATCAGGAGCAAATGGAACTATTGAGGGTAAGCGCTATTGGGAGAGTTGATGTGGAACATTTGTCTGGGTACAGGGTGAAGTTCAGAAAAGGAAACATTTGAATTCAGGGTAACAACACAGGTGTGAGGGTAATAAGGAGGAAAGAGTGACCCAGGGGAGGAGCCGGAGCAGGAGGGAACCAGAAGGAAGTTTTGTCTTGTGCCTGTGTCTTTAGATTCTATTTCAACCCAGTTAGGATTTGTTGGTGTGGAAGCAGGATTGTTCCAGAGGGCACAAATCCCATCCTTAGCAGGAGTCAGATCCTGGCCTTTTTAACCTTGGAGTACTGCAGCACTCATGGAGTCCAGCTGGTCCTGGAGGACGTTAAGCTGATCTGAGCCAGTGAAACAGAGAGTAATTGAGGCAAAGGAGGCTTCAGTCCAGCTGTTTCAGTTCTGAGTCCCCAAACCATGTCTAGAGCGGCAAGAAGAGAGATACGATGGGTGATCCATGACCCACTGGTCCCCTTCTATAGGTCCTCTGAACTATTAAGGTCTGGGGACATTGGTCTCTTGGTAACTGCTTCAAGGCTGACAGAAGGGAGGGGAGCAGCAGTTAGAGAGCCCCAGAAGAGGGTCCATCCAAGGGGCCATGAGAGAACTTAGCAGTTGGCAAAGATCCAGAACATAAGTCAGGAGGTAATAACTGTACAACTTTGTGGGGAACATTAAGAGAACGTTGCATGGGGAAAACGTTGACATTGAGATTAACGTGAGTCCATATAAAATAAGGTTAAATATAGAGTTGACATAAGGTTAAAGGCAATTGTACAACTGGCTGGACCATGTGCCTGAGTTCTGTGGAAGGATAAGGTAACTAATTAGCTGTTTATTACACCAGTCTTCTGCATGAGGAACAAGTTCCTGAACGGTTAGTAAAAGAAGTCAGTTAAAGTCAGCATCCAATGGATGACTCTGAACAGAAAGTGTCTAAGTGATACCCCTTGCTTCCAAGAATGATGAACTTTATATATTTGTTTCAAATATTAGCAACACCAAGGTATTATTTGATTAACAAAAGCCATATCTCAAGTAAAACAAAATTTTGGGTTAGAAACAATTTGATAAGGTGAAATTTTAAAAATTAGGACTATTACCTTAAAAGACCATATCCAGTATTTGAAAACATGACAATGCATATTTTTAACATAAATTGTTATAGTTATATTCCAAGATTATATAGTGACTATATTTTATACTGTCAGGCCGTGTAAAGAGACGATTTAATTCTAAGTTGTATTCCTCAGAAAGAAATGATTTCCAATTTCCAATTTAAAAACTACTTCCAGAGACAAATGTAATTTGTCTTGTCAAATGTAAATGATTCACTTTACAAAGTTTTGTAAATTATTAACCCTATTAACAGAAACCTAAAAAAAAAAAACAAAAACAAAAAAATCCTCTGCATTCTCATTCCATATACTCAACCAATAGATGAAGCAGTCAGTCACGTCAAATCTGTAACAAATAATTTACATGTAACATGGACTGAATTAGCAAAGACGGCTAAAGCCAATGCTTTACTCCTTCTGCAGAAGGACAAATCTCTAGGTCACCACACGCTGACAGCAGTAAGCATATTCCTTAACATCAGTCTATTTAAAAATAGATTGATTGTTCAGAAGCATCATTTGTAAAGCAAGGTTAAATTAAAGAGCTGTTGGCTTTTGGAATTGTTTAAGAAAATATTCCCAAGCCTCACTGGAGGCCTGGAGAACACTAAGGTCTCTTTTCACTCAGGCACTTGACTTC